GATAAACATTCGCCTAATCTCATATTCTAGCGAGCGTAAGTTGCACACTGGACATAAGTTACGCGAAATGTAGATGGAGATCTGATATATTTCGCGTCACCCGCACGCGTGTGCTCGACGCTTATCTTAAATTAACCGCGGGGAATTGATACCAATCTTCGGTACCCTTTTACATCGTTTTTTTTTCATAACCGCCGTTATACAAATTCTCTTTTAAATCCTTGCTGTACGATTTGTTAGGTGTATTAGTTAGAACTAATCTGACGGTATTAAAATAGACAAAAAATAACTACAACGTTAAAATAGAAAGAAGAGGTGAAATTTTATGTCAATTTTGTATTAATTGACTGTGTAAATAATTAGACTTGAACTCTGACTTGAAACGTATTAAAAATTCAAGTAAAATTATTCACAGCTGAGTGCGTCACGAGCCAGGCTCAACTTCATACTTACACCTTAAATATTTATATATTTGTAAATAAATGTATTCATATGTTTGTATGTACATTTATACAGATATTTATACCTGTGCATTAATATTGTAATACGATAGTGGCACAATGATATAAATATAATAATTTGTACATATATTTATACTTGTACAATATAACATAATGAAGGTATAATATTAAAAATATTCATCTGTATCCTTATATTTAGATTATTATATAATAGTAACTGTTGCGTGACTACAATTTTATTTTTGCAATATTTCTGAATTTCTTTTTCCCTCTCCACATTTCATTCGTAACGCCCCGTTAATAAATTTGAATAAATAAACAATTCAATTTTCCTTTCAACTCGTTCCGCTCGCAAAGTCGATATAACCTAGATTCGCCTGAAATCTTTTATTTCGTAGAAATTGTAATCTCGAAACGTAATATCGAGGATAATTTCGCTCTCGATTTCGAGAAGAAATATCGATCGATACGCGGGGTCATAGGCGACCGGCGGACGTAAAGGGAAAAGTTATCCCCTCGTTACGGGGAAATTTTCAGTGCACGTGAGGTGGAAAAGAAATTTTCGAAACACCTCGTAAACTCGCTGTCCGCTCTCCTGTATCGATCGTGGGAAAGATAATTAACTCGTAACCAGTTACGACTCGGAGAAAGTTGTCTATCGTAAAGTTCACTGCTACGTTGTGACATTAATGAAAAATCTGATTTATTACCTGATCGCTTACAGCATCGATATCAATTTCAAGTGCAGAGAACTTATTTCATTTATTTTGTCATACAGCTTTAACTCTGTAATTTATAAATTTCACCCCTTTCTAAAATCTACATCAAATCTGTAATGTACACTTTCTACTTAAAATTACATGATCGAAGCTGGAAATTATTTTTAATCTTCTGACTCGAGTTTTGAATAAAATTAAAATTCATCATTGATCAGTGGAAGATTATTTTTCATTAATAAATGAGAAGTACAAGAGCCAAGATGGCGTCGAATAGTCACGTGTTTGCTGGACACCAAGATGGCGTCGAGTGTTTACTGGACTCCAAAATGGTGTCTTGAACGATTTTTGTACATTGTGGTCGCTGATGAGCAACTATAATTTATTACTTTTTGAAATTTGAAGAAGTACCAGTTAAGTACCAATCTTCAATATTCATTAAACACAATTGTGCATAAATAAATTTATTACAAGTCTCAATATTATATCTTCACTCTTATACCACAAAGTCCCGAATTATTCAGTCATTAAACAAAATAGTGCATAAATAAATTTATTACAAGTCTCAATGTTATTTCTTCACTCCTGTACCACAAGTCCCGAATACTTTTTACCACATTATCGAAGTAACTTTCAAAAAAGTTGAAGATTAGAACAAACGATCCCGGTAGTTATCCGTAAATGAAGGTTTCGAATTGGTGGAGCAGCTGATAAGCGGGTAACATTCAGATTCGTGCGAAAGCTTTCCAGTAAATCTTCGAATCGCCACGTAGTCGGGTTGATAAATCAGGAGCATTCGGATTCTCGTAAAACCGTCCAGGTGATTTAAAGATCTTTAGATGTCCGAAAAACCGCATCGAAACGCAAGCTCCCATAAATCCTCGGATCGCGGTAAATTGTTGCGTTACCTTTGCAAAACAACGTCACTGTTATCGTGATATTAAAATGAGAGTAAAAAAGAAAACATACGAGTTTATTCGTCCGTGAAATTCGCGGGATTTCCGGGTCGGGTATATACGCGTCAGGCAGGATCGATGACGATAAGAAAAGGTGCGCTGCTGGGGGTTGTAGATTTGATCGAGGCGAACGGGAGAGGGTCGCAAACGATCACGAAGAAAGCCAGGGGCGGTAGGGTCGAGAAAGAAACGAGAGAACGGGGCCTTTTCACCGGCAAAATGGCCGGGAACCGAGTTTCAGTTTCATTTCGAGAGGACGCCGCCCCATCGACCCGTCTCGCCAACCTTTCCAACGTTTGTCCGCAAACTAAAATAATACTGAAGAGTTTCGTTCTACTCGATCAAATATCAATTTTTCTGTTTTGAAAAATTTCGCAGATTATCGGATTAAGAGTTGCGGTATTTTAGGGAAGTCTGACGCACTCTTTGCGTCATTTACACTTACAATTAGTGTGGTTACTCGAATTTTTAATACGTTTTGGGGATTGAGAATTTAGGGATGTGAGAATTTGGGAATATTAGAATTTGGAGATGTGGGAATTTAGAAATGTGAAAATTTGGGGATATGGGAATTTGGGGATGTGAGAATTTGGGGATGTGAGAATTTGGGGACGTGAGAGTTTGAGGATGTGGGAATTTGGGAATGTGAGAGTTTGGAAATATTAGAATTTGGGGATGTGGGAATTTAGAAATGTGAGAATTTGGGGATATGGGAATTTGGGGATGTGAGAATTTGGGGACATGAGAATTTGGGAATATTAGAATTTGGGTATATGGGAATTTGGGAATGTGAGAATTTGGGGACGTGAGAGTTTGAGGATGTGGGAATTTGGGAATGTGAGAGTTTGGAAATATTAGAATTTGGGGATGTGGGAATTTAGAAATGTGAGAATTTGGGGATATGGGAATTTGGGGATGTGAGAATTTGGGGATGTGAGAGTTTCAAGATATGAGAATTTGGGGATGTGAGAATTTGGGGACATGAGAATTTGGGAATATTAGAATTTGGGAATGTGAGAATTTGGGGACGTGAGAGTTTGAGGACGTGGGAATTTGGGAATGTGAGAATTTGGGGATGTGAGAGTTTCAAGATATGAGAATTTGGGGATATGAAAATTTGGGGATGTGAGAATTTGGGAATATTAGAATTTGGGGATGTGGGAATTTAGGGATGTGAGAATTTGGGGATGTGAGTATTGGAAGATATGAGAATTCCAGAAAATGAAAATTCGCAGCTGTAGGTATCTGGGGTTGCAAGAATTCGCGTGCATCGATATTTTGATCTGTAGCTACTAATATCAATTTACAACTACATCCGCAACATAGATATTCAAATCACAAGTACACATATAGTCATCCTTGATGAAAAATTAATATATGTGTACCTACATATGGTCACATCTTTGACACAATTTAATTCCAAATAAATGTTCAACTCCTTTCCAAATTGCAATTAAGAAATTTTCAGTTGTAATTTTCGAGCTACTATATTACAAAATTCTCAAGTTTACATACGAATCTTCCTAAACCATAGACTACATTGTATTCCATTTCTCTTTGCAAGGAACTTAAAAGGGAGTTTTAATTTGCAAAGCACCGCTGCAGAAAGGTGTTCTTCGCAGAAAACGAATAGAACGTATATATATACATTGCGAGGAAAAGCTCTTACGATTTCCTCGATTTTCGAGGAAAGGAAGTTGAAGCGTACAAATGCGCCGAAGGAAACAGACAAATCGTTTCTCTGCGTGGCACGAAACGGAGCGAAGGCAAAAAATCGTTTGGGGAACGTTTCGTTGCTCGCGTATTAAACCGTGTACATTCGTTAAATTAAAAGATAATTACATGAGCAAGAATCTAATTTTAGTATCAAATAACAAGTATGTTTTATATACCAATAAAATAAAAATAAAATAAAAAATATAAGAAAACTATATAATATAAAACACATATATATGTATATAATGTAACAAATATATAATATAACAAAAATATATAATATATAATAAATATATATAAAATAAAATATATAATATATAAATACAATTGTATACAATATAAAGAAAATCCTTTCAATCAGTAATATGAGTAATACGTTCAAAATGAGTTATAAGAATAGATTAAAATTAGTTAAGAAAATTAAAACTTATTACTAAAGAAGTAACTTATTACAAAAAGTACCTGTAAGTAAAGGATTAAGGTTGATGTCTGACAACAGCAAAATTATTTTGTAGCTAAGAGTTAACCCGTAGAACACGGTTTTCGTAGAGAAAAAATAAAATTTGGCTCGTATGTTGTACGCAATCACAAGTGTCCCAAGTCATTAGTTAAGAAAATTAAAACTTTTTACAAAAAAAAAAGAAATACAAAAACCTGCAGTTAAAGGGTCCGACAACGTCAAAATTATTTTGAAGCTAAGAGTTAACCCGTCGAACATGGTTTCCTGAGAGGAAAAAGAAAATTTGGCTCCTATGTACACAATCAAAATGTCCCAAGTAAAAGACAGAACCTTCAAACGTATACTTGAAACCGGAGGGAATTTTAAAAAGAACTTACTTACATGGTGCTCGAAGGAAACGTGCCAACAGTAGTAGCTTAAAAGTTTAACGAGCGGTGTATTTTGTAAATTTAGCAGCGATTTAGCTCCTGTATTTTCCGTCAAATTTGTATTACCTCGTACACGACATTTCACTGGATAATTAAAATCTTGGAGAGGGTTAGAATTCCGTTTAACGCGGATCGATTTCAGCGAAGTAGAATATTTTATTAAGGAGCGATCGACTATCGGATTTCGGTATCGGGTCAATTTAATTTTCGTTTCACTGGAAATGTACGTCGACGCATTAACGTTTTATTTCTCTCTGTTTCAGGTAAGCATTCTGGACATTTGAACAGCTCTGGGAATTACGTGCAATCCAGCGGCTTTTTGGGGTAACGTTGTCGACCGCGTTTCTTAATTTTTATTAAACGATCCTCGTAAATCCTGCTTTCCTGCGATTACCGAGTCAGACTCTGGTCACACGTTCCACCCGCGATATAGTTTCTTTTTGGCACTATAGTGGCCTTCGAATAACATCTCTATGGTACACTATAGTTTCGAATGTCATCGATTACATAGTGCCATGACTCTACTGACTCTTGTATTTAATGCCACGTATTGTTTGAAGAAATTATTTTTGAACGTATATAGTCATATTCGATGTATAAGTGTCAGGATAGTACACGATAATTTTATACAGTGATGTATGAATATGCGACAAATTTCGTTTGATATAATTACTAAACGGTGGGAGCACGTTAGATAGGAACCTCTTAGACACGACGCGTCACTATAGTGGCTTTCGCGAATGCCATAGATTACATAGCGCCATTATAGTGGCTCACTCAATTGGCTCACATGCTCACCGTTTCGATTCAATGATCCTTTTCATATCTTTTGATTTGCACTTTACCTCCACCACGTTTTGTAAGAGTATTAACAAGTCCCATGAAAAATACATTACATGTAAAAAAGGTAGTCCAGTAGTTTCTGCACTATGCTCTTTGCACTAATACATATAGCAAACATTTGGAAATTTTGTGAATTTTCTAAAAAGTAAATTATCAAAGTTAAAGTATCTTTGGTAAAATTTAATCATAAAAAGCCTAATTCCAATGTGCGATTATACGTAGCGCGCATAATTCGAACTCTGCCGAGTAGCGTAAAATTCATCCGTACCTAATATTCTAAACGCTTTATAAGCTGTTTCCGCGTGGACACTTATCGCGCCATGCACCGTTCGAATCGTTCGAATTTATCGTATTGCACACGGTAACGCAATTTAGTCCGATTTTAATTAGCAACCGGCGCCGACAATTAATTAGAATAATTATTAACGCGCTGAAATGCGTCAAATTCTAGCTACATGTACTGCAGGGAAATCTGATCGTGCCAAAAGCTTCGATTTCAAATCGACCGCAATTTGATGATGTCGATAGGTTTCATTCCATATTATTCCTTTATACGTTTCTATTTCACAAATTTATGATTATTGTCACTGTAAATTTAGCTGGGGATATCGTGTTCTGGGAGTCGAGGGATTTATGGCTGTTGAATTCTGAATATTTAGAGGTATTGAAATTTGAGAATTTTAGGACCTAAATTGCAATTTTTTATAAGATATAGAGATATTTGAAGCTGAGTGATACCAGAGTTTAAGGATATTGGGAGCTGAGGGATACTAGGATCTAGGGATATTGGGAGCTGAGGGATACTAGGATTTAGAGATATTGGGAGCTAGGAGTATTGGGAGCTGAGGGATCCTAGGATCTAGGGATATTGGGAGTTGAGGGATACTGGGAGCTAGGGATATTTGGAGCTAGGAATATTGGGAGATGAGGGATACTAGGATCTAGGGATATTGGGAGCTGAGGGATACTAGGATTTAGAGATATTGGGAGTTAGGAGTATTGGGAGCTGGGGGATCCTAGGATCTAGGGATATTGAGAGCTGACGGATTCTAGGATCTAGGGATATTGGGAACTGATGGATACTAGGATCTAGGGATATTGGGAGCTGAGGGATACTAGGATTTAGGGATATTGGGAGCTAGGAGTATTGGGAGATGAGGGATACTAGGATCTAGAGATATTGGGAGCTGAGGGATACTAGGATCTAGGGATATTGGGAGCTGAGGGATACTAGGATTTAGGGATATTGGGAGCTAGGAGTATTGGGAGATGAGGGATACTAGGAGCTAAGGATATTGGAAGGTAGGAATATTGGGAGCAGAGAGATCCTAGGATCTAGGGATATTGGGACCTAGGAGCATTGGGAGCTAAAGGATACTAGGCTCCAGGGACATTGACAGCTAGGAATATTGGAAGGTGACGGATACTAGGATCTAGGGATATTGAGAGCTAGGCGTATTGGGAGCTGAGGTATATTAGGACCTAGGGATATTGGGATCTAGGAATATTGAAAGCTTAGGGACACTAAGATCTAGCGACATTGGGAGCTAGGAATATTGGAAGCTGAGTGATACTAGGACCTAACGACATTGGCATATAGAAATATTTACTTGTAGGTATATTAGAACTTGGAGTTATCAGGATCTGAGAATATCGGGACTTACAGATAGAGCTATCTAATATTTGATTAAGACATATTTTGATTTAAGAATCCAAGGACATTTGCATCTACATATGTAGAACTTTAAAGATCTATAAATCTATGAACACAGATCCCAGAATCGACAAAAGTAACCGTTTCCCTTTTACAATATAAATCAGAATTGTCAACCTCTCCCGCGAGAAATTTGATTAAACATCTGATTACTGAAATTCCTGTAATTCTGCGTGGCGCAATTTCCTCGAGTCGATCGGCAAACGAGGCGGGAAAAGAATCGAGATATCGAGGGGTGGCACGATCGAACCGAGGGTTCTTTCAGCCGCGCATGTCGTCTCTGCCTAAACGGGGTGTCCTTGTCGTCATGGTAACCCTTATGGGAAGGGAGAGGCTACGATGACTAGGGTTCAGAATAGCAGGGGGTGAGAAGGAGACGCAGGGAGAGGGAGAGAAGACTATATGGATGGACCAGCTCGATTGTCGTCATCATCATTTGTCATCGGTTCGAAATTCGGCTCCGAACTACGTTGCGTCTGCCGTTTTGCTGGCATTTTTCATCCTTCCACACCCCACAGCCTTTTGCTGTCCACCTTTTTCTTCCGTTCCCCTTCTTTCTCTTGCGAGCAGACTCCGTTCTTATCGTTCGATCGATTTTTAAAGAACTTTAGAGCGATCGGAAACTTCGGATATTGATGAATTTTCGCTGGGAGAATAAATTATTGATCTTAGGAGCGAATTCGTCGCGTTGCGAATTCGATACGTGGCGAATTTTACGCGTTGAGAATTCAACGTGCGGCAAATTTGACGCACCGCGAATTTCACGCACTGCAACTTTGACGCACCGCGAATTTGACGCGCTAAGAATTTGATATGTTGCGAATTTGGCACACTGTGAATTCGACACGTGGTGAATTCTACGCGTTGAGAATTCAGTGCGCGGGAAATTTGACGCACCGCGAATTTCACGCACTGCAACTTTGACGCACCGCGAATTTGACGCGCTGTGAATTTGATATGTTGCGAATTTGGCGCACTGCGAATTCGACACGTGGCGAATTCTACGCGTTGAGAATTCCGCGTGCGATAAATTTGACGCACCACGAATTTCACGCACCGCGAATTTGACGCACCGCAAATTTGACGCGCTGTGAATTTGATATGTTACAAATTTGGCGCACTGCGAATTCGTCGCGCTGCGAATTCTACGCGTTGAGAATTCAGTGTGCTGCAAATTTGACGTACCGCGAATTTAACGCACCGCGAATTCGACGCGCCGCAAGTTTAACGCGCTACAAATTCAATGTACATACTACGCTCTTGACACCAAGTAAATTCAGCACGACCCGAATTCAACATAATATGAATTCACCGGGTTTTGAATTTGATGCACAATTTGAAGCACTGCAAACTTAACGCGCTGCAAATTCAGTGCACTACAAGTTTGCTGCGCTATGGAATGAACGCACCCTGGATTTGACAGGTTACGAATTTGACGCGTTGCTAACTCAACGTGTTGCGAATTTAATGTTCTGCAAATTTAACGCGGTCATGGTCTAACACTCTGCGACTTAGACGTGTTATGAATCGAGCGGTATTCGACGCGCTGTGGACTTGACACGTCGAGAATTGAACTCACTACGAATTTAACGCGCTGCAAATTCGACGCCTCGTGAATTTGGCGCGTGTACAAGTTTATCGCCTTCCGAATTTAATGTACCGCAAATTTAACGCGTTGTGAATTTGCTGCGCCGCGAATTTTCGGTCAGAGGTTAACTTATCGGCCATAATTTTCCCGTAATTCACTATATCGGAAAAAAAGCGGAGAACAGGAAGAATGTATATCGAATAACTTTCGCATTTTTGTTACAGAATTGCAATTTAATAATTTCTCACCATGGCAGTTAATTTGCAAATTGGAATTTGACGTATAAGTCCCTTTTGTTCTGTCCATTTATTCGAGCGGCTCGCGTTTGAACAATCAACGATTGATTAGCGTTCGTTCCGCGTTGTAAAGAGAGTTTTCATTTCCGTTCGGTGGCTGATCAACGAGAAAACGCGATAGAAACACATCGTGATCGCGGACGTTCGGAATTCGGCCCAAATTCCATGGTAACATTTTTTTTTCCATTCGCATTCGTTTTTTTATCCCGCGATCCTCTTTCGAGTCTTTGTCTCTTCTTCGCGTCGATCGCGTTCGCATCGAAATGCATCATCCCTTTCGTTATCCTTTCGATGCTCCACGCGCTTTATCGCAACAGGTGCAAAAATTCCACCGATTCGATTGACTTCAGAAATCAATGATCGGTTCACCACTGTGCTGCTTGTTCTCCGAATTCTTTTCGCGTTTGACGCTTTTTCACGATTCTCTCGGTATTTTGGAAATAACTGTCCTACAGATTTCTTTGTATTTTGTGTGTTGGAAGCACTTTTGAGGGACTGTTAATAAATAACGTCGCAATTTAACGAGTTAGGTGAATTTCAAGTTTTAATTCATATATGATGGATTTTTGAATGTACTGGGACTAACACTAGTTGTGAGACACCCTGTATATATTGAGACTCGAGGAAGATTTAATAATATTGAGAGCTAAGGATATCTAAGGGTATTTTGATCTTGGGACATTGGGATATAGTTATGTCTCCATCTAAAAATATTTGGAACTACACACACTACCGTTCATAAATATCCGGACACAAGCGAAATATGCATTTGCGTTGCATGAAAGTTATTCAAGTATCTGCAACAGTAACTAAAATCGATTTTTTTTTCTGCGAAGGTCAGAATACTGGAACGTTTTTCGATTGATAATTCTCGTTTGGAACT